GGGCACATTTGCATGCATGCCCAAGATCCCGAGAAGAGAATGGAGGAGAAGGGATTACAGCATGGCCATCCCCCCTGAGGGGTGATTTCTTGCTTTCTGTCTCTCTGTCTCTCTCTGTCTTTCTGGTGAGAGCACACACCCTATAGCAAAAACCACTCCAAAAAAAAAAATTGTTATAGGGAATGTGTGCTCATCAGAGAGAGATGGGGGCGGAGGTGGAGAATGAAAAAGCAAGCTGCCAGGTCTAGGACTTGAACTATGGTCAGCAATGTGGGAGTCTAGCATCTTTACCACCATGCCACTTGCTGGCTCCTATTCTACTTATTGTTGAGGGGACTGTTAAAATCTTCGGTTATAATTGTGTATTTGTTTATTTCCTTTCATTTTGGTCAGTTTTGATTCATGTATTTTTAAACATTTTCTGGTGCATATAAATATTTAGAATTATTATGTATTCTTATGTACATTGCATCGTATGTACATCATCATTATGTAATGTACCTCTCTAACCTTGGTAATTTTCCTTGCTCTGAAGTTGCCATTACCTGATATTAATATGTAACTCCAGCTTTCTTTTGATATATATCATGCAAACACTATATATTAAATATATATGGAATACTATGAAATATATGTATTTTCATCCTTTCACTTTTTTTGTTCAACTTCTTTTTTAAATTTTTTATTGTATCATAATCTTGTTTATGTTGCATTGAATCACATATAACTTTATAGTGTATTACATTTCTTTTTCCAGAAGGAATACCACTCATATCAGTCAATACAAAGACATTAAAATCCCCATCATCAGCATCATCCAAGAGCTTTTCATTTTTCCAGATTATTATTATTCCAATTATTTTTTAGAACATTTGATCACTATTTATCATTTTGCTTATAAAAAGACTTTACCCAACATGAAATACTTTTCAGACCTGCCCAGTTGAGAATACTATACACATCATCATCAACAGGTAATAACATCCTTTCACTTTGAACATGCCTGTATCTTGTACTTCTACACCTTGTACTTCTACAACTCCATCTTGTCTGAGGCCACACGTTAAGAGGAGAGAAGAAAAAGTCGTGATGGTTGGCTGCTTTAGAATTTCAGCTCCACCAGTAGAAAATTTGAATCTCAATCTTAACATTTAAAAAATGATTACTTGAATGTATTCATAATGTTGAAGGAAAGAATGCAATAAAAAGGTGGCATTTGAGGGTAGAGAACAAAAACAACTCCATATACTTGTTGAATGGTCTTCAAACTTCAAAGTTTGATTATGAGAATTCCATTATAAATTAGATTCCTTGGCTACATCTACAGAAATTCTGCTATGGCAATTCCAGCCTAGGGTCTGGAAAGTTGTATCTTTAAATCCCAGGTGACTCTGAAGTGACAGAGTGAAATGTCTAAGGCCAACACTGTGAAAATCTTTTGTGTGCCTAATGGTTATGGTAGGACACTTAATGTTTTATGTCCATTTTGTTCTTATTATTCAAGAATAAGGTAGGACTAAATCCTCACACACACACATGAGTAAGAGAAAGAGCCCAGGGTGGTAATGAAGACAGAACTACAACACCTCTAATAGGATCTCAACACCATGATCCAACTTCAGTCTCAGTTAGCTTCAGATCATATGCACATGCTTGCCCTGCATACTAAGGAAGGTCTCCAGCCATGAACAGTCAACCTTCCCATGCTGGTCTTTCCTACAGAATGATGTGTTTTACCACTGCAGCAGCAGATAGCCCTGAGTCTGGAGAATTTTAGTTGTGTTTCAGATGCACTTCCAAATAGATTTTTTTCACTTTGCCTGAAGGCCAATTTTATCATGAGAGACATTTGCTAGCTGGACTTACCTGTTTCATTGAAGTGGCTCTATAAAGGCTTGCTGTGACTGATAGCACATAAAAAGAAGATTGAAGATAATTATGTAGTTTTCTCAGTTCTTCATTTATTTCTCTTTCTCTGAAATCTATTTTCTATGATCTCCTGAGTTGCTGCTTTTTGAAATTTAGTATTTATGGGGAATCCAGAGCAGAATTGCTCATTTTTATAGCTTTTGTCCTCCATCAAGCCTTCTGTGAACAGCATACATTTCTAGCAATTCTGTCTCAAAAATATGCCTTCAACTTTCACTTAGAGATAGAGAGATAAACAATTTACTTAGCTCTAGTGCTCTCTTCCATAGTGACTCATAGGCAGTTTAGGAAACATTTTCCAGTACAGTAGCATTAGCCTTTGGAATCATTTCAATCACAATTATATTCCATGTAGATTCTGAAATATTAATAGTAATAGAAACTAATTATCATGTCTTCAATTTGAATGTGCTAAATACATTATCACTTTTTTTTTAAGCAATCAAACTACCATAATCTGCCAAGGATAATGATTGGACAGTGATGACCTTGATATAACTGTTAATTTTGTTTCTCTGAATGAAGTCAGAGTTCCTCAGCTTTGGAAAAGAAATTGTCATTAGTAACATACGTAATATGGGATTTAGAAAAAAATAATTCAGTATTATTATTCCTGCCACCATTTTATTAACAGAAAATAGTGCTAAAATATTTTAGATTTATATTAATTTTCTGGCCATGGGTATTGGTTTAGTATTTTGCCAAAAATTATATTTTAGTGTTCTAGAAGAGTTTTTATACTTCTAAAAGGTGAGAAATTTCCTCTCCTTTTTCTAAGAAACTAAGTCTAATATTGTGGAGATCTACAATGAAGTCTCTGCCTTGAGGTTAAGAAACAGAATGAACATATTATTGTTACCCTAGTTTACTTTTCCCATCCTCCTCATTTAAAGATAGTCCCTTGTTTTGGGAAAGGCATGTTATATGCTTGAATTAACTTGAGTCTATCTCTCAGTGTAGAGATAGACTCACCTACCAAAGAGTGGAATTTAAAGCATTCAGTAGTATGAGAACTGTATCTGCTAAGATAGCATAAGTGAAATTTGGTTTGTTCATACCTAATATTTGCAAAATACTTGAAAGTTTTTATAAGATTTGGGAAGTAAAAGATAAAACAGTAAGAGATTGAGGCAGAATTCCTATAAAAATAGATAAGTAATTTTTCTAAGCAGAGAGACCTGAACTAGTGGAGATTATTATAGCCATAGCCTTGCCAAGGGAAGAGCTGGGGTATTTATGGTTGCTAAGTACTCTGTGGGTGGGTGGCATTACTATGTTATGATGTGTTCACTTTGTGTATTATATTATATAGAAGAGCTTACATTTGCTTTATGAATTGATATTTGACCTAGTGATATTCTTTCTGAGTCATATGAGTGATTATTTTTTATTCGTATGAGTTATTTTTTTTTGGAGAGATTTTCGCTATAGGGCATGTGCGCTCGCCAGACAGACAGAGAGAGACAGAGAGACAGAAAGCGAGAAATCACCCCCCAGGGGGGATGGTCATGCTGCAATCCCTTCTCCTCCATTCTCCTCTTGGGATCTTGGGCACCCACGCACACGCACCCAGCGTGAGTTTTAAGCCACTGGATCTGGGATGTGAACTGCGGTTGACTACGTGGGAGTCCAGTGACATAGCCATTATGCTAACTGCTGGTTCCCTTTTTTTTTTGATTCATGTCAGTTAGCTATTTCTTCCTGTGGCCAGTGACAAAAAGAAGAAACAGTTATTCAGTTCAATGGGTATTTATATACTAGAAGAAATAAAGAGGAATATATTAGTAAATCTGTTCAATTGCTGTAACTAAAACATTTAAATAAAAGCATTTAAAACAAGATAGAAAATTGGTTTTCTCCCATAAAAATTCTGAGTGGAAACTTCTGTTGGTATGACAGTTATACTTTCATCAAAAAAAATCCTTGTGTCTTTATTACTCTATTATACTAAATATATCATTTCTACCTCATATTCTCATAAGACCATCTACTTTTCAGCCAGCACAATGATAAAAGGTTTCAAAAAGAAAGGTCATACTGCATCTCTGCTCACATCATGCTGACTCATATCCCAATGGCTATGTCTTTTTTGGAGAGGTTTGTGCTATAGGGCACGTGCGCTCGCCAGATAAACAGAGAGAGACATAGAGACAGAAAGCGAGAAATCACCCCCCCCCAGGGGGGATGGCCACACCGCAATCCCTTCTCCTCCACTCTCCTCTCGTGATCTTGGGCACGCACGCACACGTGCCTGGCGTTGAGTTTTAAGCCACCAGGTCTGGGACGCGAACCGCGGTCAACTGCATGGGAGTCCAGCGACATAGCCATTACACTAACTGCTGGTCCCGCCAATGGCTATGTCTTGATAAAAGGGGCAACACTTAGTTGCAGGAAAGGTTGGGAAATACGATCTTTATATGGATAGCTAAGTTGCTAAGTAAAAAGGAGAGAATGGGTATCATTGAAAAATGAAGTTGCTACCACATGAGTATATTCAAGTTTCTTTCCTTAATGACCTTAAAATATTCTACAAGCATTAAAAAATGTATGCTGCCATGATATGCAGTGAATGAATATAAAATAAATAAAAATAATAATAGTAAATATCTGTTCATGGTTAACTGTAATGCAAGCAAGATAAGGGAAGAAAAAGGAGTTTTGTGCAATGCTGCCTAGTAAACAAAGGAAAGTTTACATATGCTATCAATGTTTACCATTTGATAAGCAGATAGTACATCCAGGTACAGAAGCCCAACAGAATATTAGAAATTTGAGTTTAGATACAAAAGAAATTTCTTACTGAAAGAGGTATTAGACTACATGTGATTAATGTGACTATTTTTCAAACTATACCTATGTCTCCAACCTAAAGTCCCTGAGTTCCCTCTATACCACCAAATGCATCCTTTTTGTTGGGAATAATGAAGCAGAAGAAAAAGGAAATGGAAAGTCATGGACTTAAAACTTAGATGTCGTAAAGCCTTCTAAGAAAGGGAAATTCTCTTTATCAGACATATCTACCTATCTTACTGAATAAGGTCTTTGACTTTCTTTCTGCTTCCCTTTTTCAGGATGCTTTTCAGGAAATAATGATCATTTGTTGGCAATTCATCAGAAGAAGAGTGGAAAACCAGTATTCATCTATCACCATTCACAAGACATTGAGAAAAGCCTGGATATAGCTCCACAAAAGATATATAAACATAATTTTCATTCCCCTTCTGAAACTCAAGTAAGCAAACGCCACCAAATTGTAAATTCAGCATTTCCTAGACCTGCGTATGACCCATCTCTCAATCTGCTGGCCATGGCTGGTCAAGATCTTGAAGTGGAAAATCTTCCAATCCCAGCAGCAAATGTAATTGTTGTGGTGAGTATCAGGTGTTACTGATTCTGATGTAATGTTGATGTTTTCCTCTGTGATTAATGCTTAAAAAAAAGAAAACAAACAAACAAACAAAAAAACTGTGACTATGATAGTCACCATTGGATCTCAATGGTTATTCATCACCACACTAATTTTTCTCTGATATTTCCTTTTCATTGATTATTGTGTGCTTGCTTTTTTCCATGGAATTAGAAAACTTGTCTATATTTTCGCTCATAGTACCATATGTGGTGTTAGCAGGTATTTAATAAACATCTGAATAAAATTGCTTTGGAAGGCCTTACAGTTATAGGATGTTATATCTTGTCCTGAGCCTCCTGCTTTCTGTGATCCAAGTTTTAATACATAGTTTTTAGTAGCAGCCTGTGTAAATAAGTAGTACTGACTGAGGATCTTCCGTTTACTTGATTTAAATTAAAATAAAATGAATAAACAACTAACTGATAGGGAGGGAGTGTTGTTGGGAGAAGGTACTTTGCTGTAACTGGAGTAAATAAGATAAGTTAGGAGTAATTTATGGATAATATTCCTCATATCCTGAACAAAGATCTCTCTATTTTTAACCAAGGTGTTCCAATGTTCTCATTGCTTCTACTCTTAGTACATAAAATGCAGGTCAGAGATTCTCACTTTGTGGAGGTATCATAGTTACCTACTCTGTCTATAGACCCTCCTAAGTTTAAAATCTTAATAGGAAGATCCACATTAAAACTACAGTCAGTGGGACCAGCAAGTGGCGTGGAGATTGGAGCAGCCAGTTCCCACATGACCCACTCAGTGGTTTGAGTCACTGACTCTGTAGTTTGAAGATCATGCCATGTGTGTGTGTGAGTGTGTGTGTATATGATTAAATCTCAAAAGGAGAATGGAAGAGAAGGGATTGCAGTGTGTCCATCGCCCTGGGGGGGGGAGGAGATGATTTCTCAATTTCCCTCTCTATCTCTGCTTTTCTCTGGTGAGTGCATGCACCCTGTAGCAAAAACTAAAAACAAAACTAAACTAAAAATCAGTAACTAAATGTGCTTTTTTTTTGCATTTGTATTCAAAATATAATCAAATCAGTTAATTTTTGAGGCTAAGATAATTTAATGGAAACATATTTGCATTTTGACAACCGCTCTATGCATGAAATATAATTAAATTTAACAAACTTCTTTTTCTTTTCTTTATTTTTTAAATTTATTACATATATAGAACCCTTACCAAGAATCAAAAATCCAGTAGTTAATGTTTTTAGCTGTCATACATTGCTTATTTTTTATGATCCAGTTGTCATTGAGGTATATGGAAAAAGATACACTAAATGGAGTCAGATTTAGCTAGCGAAATGAGTTGGGACAAATATTAATAATTCAAAAAAATTGAAAATTGAGAGTACAAAATAAGCTCTTGTCAAGAGAGAATACGTGGGTCATTTGGCATCCTGAAATACCTGGACAAGTTTTCTGCATTTACATGAGTAATAGATGTTCTGAAGGCGAAAGTCATGTACTCTGGCTAGTCAGTGAAGATAAATGATGTGAATGGTGTCTCTGAGTCTGGATATGACTATGTTAATGCTGAGTCTCATGGGGGATATTTTTCTCTAGTAACCATCGTATACCCATAGTCCTACTCCTAAAGTCACTGTAAATTACAGTTCAAGAGGTTTGTTCTATCTTGTAACATCAAGTTCTTTCTAGTTAATTTAACATTATGGACAATAAAAGGGATCAATGAGGAATTCTGACAGGTCATTTCACTTTTAGCTTATTTGTGGTTTGGAGATTCATGAAGAGGTTGTGCTTTTTCTTTTCAGTGATGATTAAAGAGGTGATAGGCGAGGGAGCTGCATTAGTCTCCCTAACCTCTCTTGATCTAACCTCTAACCATGCCATAGCTCTGATAGCTTACAACAATTGCTAGTGCTAATGTTTCCTGTAATCCACTTGCATTACTTAGGCACATGATGATTTAGTAGGAAAACTGAAGAAATAGAGTTATTTTAAAAGAAATCAATAATGTTCTGCTTCCTCAAAAAGCAAAAGGGTGACATACAATTAAATATCAGTTGATTTGAAGGTCTATTCTATCCAAAGGATTTCTAATGGAGTATATAGGATTCAAAGGATCTATTCTGGGGAAGTTTAGTGATTTTGATGGAAATATTTATGTGTTTTCATGCATAAAGAATGTTTGTGTAGCAAAACAATGCAGAGCGTGTTGCTTAAGGAATATTGCAGTAGTACTAAAGAATTCTTTTTTTGCTTACAGTATACCAAATGAGCAGGGTTAATGAGTATCTGTTTCTTTCTTTTTTTGGGGGGGGGAGAGATTTTTGCTATAGGGTGTGTGCACTTGCCAAAAACACCAGAGAGAGACAGAGAGACAGAAAGCAAGAAATCACCCCCCAGGGGAGATGGCCATGCCGTAATCTCTTCTCCTTCTTCTCCTCTTTGGATCTTGGGCACACACACTCGCCCAGCATGAGTTTAAGCCACCGGGCCCAGGACTCAAACTGCGGTTGACTACGTGGGAGTCCAGCGACATAGCCATTACACCAACTGCTGGTCACAATATCTGTTTCTTGAACTAGGGAAATTCCTTTGATTTTTTTTTTTCCCCAGTGAGGTTAAAAAGCTATCCTGAATATCTAACTCTCCAAATTATTTACATATAAATTTACGCTGGGAACATATAGTTTTTTTATTTCTTAATTATACATAAAGAAAGCTGGGAAGAAAATGAAGAAAACAAATATGAACTAAATTTAAGGATCTTGAAAATGATCAATATAATTTGGAAACAAAGAAAAGATTTTAAAATAGATTACTTTCATAGATTCTTCAGTGTTTCCAAGTTGTCTTTAGCTTGCTTTTTTTTTTAAATTTTTAAAGCAAAAATTATAGAACTTTTTCAACAGAGGACTTTATATTCTTTTGTCTGTTAAATATTTCTTCTCTTTGTTCCTCCCACTCATCCTTAGTAAATTTTATATTTAACATGTAAGACTTTCTAGCTGAGAGAGAGAGAAAGAGAGAGAGATCACTCCTCTGAAATTTCTTTCTCTCTGTTGTCTCTAGTGTCATTGAAAATGAGTTTTAGAAAGAGAAATTTAACAGGAACATGGAAGACGCATGTGTCCCTTCTCCCTTCCTGATTTCTAATTGCCACCATAAAACATTTCATAAAAGCATTTGTCCACAAATGATATTTTTTCTTTTTCTTCTTTCTTTTGTAATCAGTAAAATTTGTAATTTGTTTGTTCTAAGGAAAGGATGGCACTATTAGAATGTTTAGTCCAAAGAATGTAAATTATGTTTTCAGAAACTCAATTAAGAAGCTGTTTCTAGGATTTCTATGGAAGTGTAATGTGAGGGTTGCACTTGTGAATGGTCTTGAGGTCAGTGCAGTGGTAGGGGGAATGGCCTTATCAAATACATGCTGAGAATTCCAGAGCTCTGACCACCGATCCGAGGATGTTCACAGGCCACAAGACCACAACACTAGAAAGGAGGAACCCAGGATACAAGTGAAAGTGATATAATGGAAACAGCTACAGGCTTTTTAGTTCAACATAGGTTACTGAGTGAAGAATGTTCTGGCCTGGCCAAAATCTGAAAAAACTGGGTACTAGTAAAGTCTTGGAAAGGGTGATTTTTAGGGCCAGTGAAGAAGAAACCCATGTAGGGAGATTATGCCATACTTCATAGGACAGATTTTAGGGAAACAAAAAGAAGGAGGAAGAGGTGAAAAGAAGGAAGGGGAAAAGAAAGGTGAAAGGAAGGAGAGGTTCAAGAGAGGGGAAAACATAACAGCAGTTTTTAGGGCAGTGGGAAGACTTATATGTGCATACAAGAAGATGATGGCAGGTTTCCAAGAGCCTGAGATGATCTTTGTGAGATTTCTGGAATTCTATAGCTTTTCATCTTGCTTACCACTCACCCAGTCCAACACAAAGTTGTTTTTTTTAGGCATAAAACTTTTCCTGTAAATACTTTTATCAGATATTTGATAAAACAAACAAACAAACAAACAAAACAAAACACTATTAAGGTCAAAAGCTTTGGATAATTCTGGAGATTTCAATTATACCCTAATCTTTGGTTCATGTTTCACCTCAGCCTGGTTCTGATATTGACCAGTTTTGGGGATTCATTTTACAGGTAAAGAGATAATCCCTAGATGCAATTTGAAGGGCTTTGAAAATCTAGCCCTCTCATTGCCTTACCACAGTAAAAACAAACAAACAAATAAACAAAAAACTTATAGAACTTACTGTATTATGTAATATAGATATTTTTTGAATACTTGTTTTCAATAGACAAATTGATTCTAACTTTATGTTTATGTACGGAATGTTCCAATGGGTGGATTTAATCTATGAACATACCACTGGAATTCTTCCATAATAAGGAAAGTGTTTCGGTGAGTAATAGTTCATTTCAAGTGACTAGAAATCCAATGCAAACAAGAGAAAATTAGTGGTTCTGAGTACTAATATTACAGTAGTATGACTGGCTTTAGGTCTGGTTCAATTGAAAGCTCAAATAATGGCACTAGGACCAATCTTTCAACTTTTCTTCCTCTGGGGTGACTTCATTCTCAGACTGGTTCTCCTGTCTTTGTCACAAGATGGTTTTGTGAGATGCTTTAAGTTTCATCTTTATAGGTTCATATTCGATTGTTAAAGAGTGTGTCTTTAGTAACTGTCACTAATATCTTTGGTTTCCCTCTGACTAGAACAATTTATGTACTTATCTATTCCTGTACAAGTTGTGGCTAGGTGATAAAAGTTGACTAATTACCTCAAATCTAAACCATATGTCTCACTAGAATAGCTTCCCTAAAGACCTATAAGCCATATGGTAAGGGAGGTTACCTTAATGAAAATTGGAACACTTTTTTTTTTTAGAGGTTTTTTGCTATAGGGCACGTGCGCTTTCCAGACAGACAGAGAGAGACAGAGAGATAGAAAGCAAAAAATCACCTCCCAGTGGGGATGGCCATGCAGCAATCTCTTCCCCTCCATTCTCCTCTCGGGATCTTGGACACGCACGCACATGCGCGGGCGTGTTTAAGCCACCGGGTCTGGACCTCGAACTGCGGTCGTCTACGTGGGAGTCCAGCGACATAGCCATTACGCTAACTGCTGGTCCTGTAAATGGGAACACTTTTAACAAGCACAAGGTAGAATAGATACTGATAGCAGCCAATATGTGCTACAGCAGACTTCAGTTTCTATTAAAATACGATAGCTCCTTGAAGAAACAATGAAGATATAAGGACTTGAAATCTAGCATGAAGAAATGATTCCTTTACAAAATGGACAACAAATGTTCTACTGCTATATTCTAAACTCTTCAAAAGTACCTCAAGTAGGCAGCAAATTCACTCTAGGATAAAGTTAAAGTGCTGGCGATGTGTCCTAAAACCTAGACTTCTCACCAACAACAAAGAATATGATTTAGTGTACTCTCTTAGACCCACCACACTATGTCTCCCCAAAGTCTCAAATTTGTGGAAACCCTTGGAGCCTAAATACTTCTTGATGGTTACTGTTCATATGTAGAAAACAGTAAGTCTGTGTGGAGCTGTGGAAATGCAGGTGCCTAGGCTTATTCCTGTGCTAAATAATTGGCTCCTAGCCTGAAACTCACAGGAAGTGTTATTCAAAGGTAGACTTTGGATAAGTTTAAAATGAGTATTTGTTAAAGGCATCTAGAGTCAATATGGTAAATACTAAATCCCAAATGGCAAATTGATTAAATACAAAAGTCTATTGTAATGTGGGGTGTAGCTCACAGGTCCTTTAATACAGTCCTGGAACTCTTATCCCAATTTCTAGAGGGGATGGGTATAAAAGTCAGAGAGAACATATCTAACAGAAAAGTTGCAATATAAGCAAGTTGGTTAAATAACAGCAACCTCAAACACATATATGTAAGTGTACAAATAGAAAAGGAGAAATCACGGCTAAAACTGAGTCTATATGAGAAATGTTTAAATGACAAGGGAGGTATCACCAGTGAGTGGGAAAGGATTATTTGTCACTTAGTACTGGCCCATGGAAATTACTTGGCACAAATATAATCATGGTAATATAAAGTAACAGTTATTTTTTTGCTAAGTACATAGCATTTGCAATATGCGAAGTGATAGAAAATGATCTGCTGATGATAATGCGTATGGAATAATATAGAGTATATGTATTATACTGGGAAAATACATTTTGAATGCCATAAAGATGTACAGTGATTGTAAAAAATAAGAAATGTAAAAAAGTAAAAGAGAAATATCTAAATGAGGATTAATAAGAGTACACATAAGGATTATTAGGAAGATAAAGTGAGGTAAATTTTCTATGCACTAATATAAAGTGTACTCGATTTCTTCTATTATGATTATTATTTAAAATTAATGATTATCATAAGTGCCCTGGGATTTCTGGAAGAGTAGTCAATTTTATTTGCAAAGATCAGGAAAGGTTGGGAAATACGATCTTTATATGGATAGCTAAGTTGCTAAGTAAAAAGGAGAGAATGGGTATCATTGAAAAATGAAGTTGCTACCACATGAGTATATTCAAGTTTCTTTCCTTAATGACCTTAAAATATTCTACAAGCATTAAAAAATGTATGCTGCCATGATATGCAGTGAATGAATATAAAATAAATAAAAATAATAATAGTAAATATCTGTTCATGGTTAACTGTAATGCAAGCAAGATAAGGGAAGAAAAAGGAGTTTTGTGCAATGCTGCCTAGTAAACAAAGGAAAGTTTACATATGCTATCAATGTTTACCATTTGATAAGCAGATAGTACATCCAGGTACAGAAGCCCAACAGAATATTAGAAATTTGAGTTTAGATACAAAAGAAATTTCTTACTGAAAGAGGTATTAGACTACATGTGATTAATGTGACTATTTTTCAAACTATACCTATGTCTCCAACCTAAAGTCCCTGAGTTCCCTCTATACCACCAAATGCATCCTTTTTGTTGGGAATAATGAAGCAGAAGAAAAAGGAAATGGAAAGTCATGGACTTAAAACTTAGATGTCGTAAAGCCTTCTAAGAAAGGGAAATTCTCTTTATCAGACATATCTACCTATCTTACTGAATAAGGTCTTTGACTTTCTTTCTGCTTCCCTTTTTCAGGATGCTTTTCAGGAAATAATGATCATTTGTTGGCAATTCATCAGAAGAAGAGTGGAAAACCAGTATTCATCTATCACCATTCACAAGACATTGAGAAAAGCCTGGATATAGCTCCACAAAAGATATATAAACATAATTTTCATTCCCCTTCTGAAACTCAAGTAAGCAAACGCCACCAAATTGTAAATTCAGCATTTCCTAGACCTGCGTATGACCCATCTCTCAATCTGCTGGCCATGGCTGGTCAAGATCTTGAAGTGGAAAATCTTCCAATCCCAGCAGCAAATGTAATTGTTGTGGTGAGTATCAGGTGTTACTGATTCTGATGTAATGTTGATGTTTTCCTCTGTGATTAATGCTTAAAAAAAAGAAAACAAACAAACAAACAAAAAAACTGTGACTATGATAGTCACCATTGGATCTCAATGGTTATTCATCACCACACTAATTTTTCTCTGATATTTCCTTTTCATTGATTATTGTGTGCTTGCTTTTTTCCATGGAATTAGAAAACTTGTCTATATTTTCGCTCATAGTACCATATGTGGTGTTAGCAGGTATTTAATAAACATCTGAATAAAATTGCTTTGGAAGGCCTTACAGTTATAGGATGTTATATCTTGTCCTGAGCCTCCTGCTTTCTGTGATCCAAGTTTTAATACATAGTTTTTAGTAGCAGCCTGTGTAAATAAGTAGTACTGACTGAGGATCTTCCGTTTACTTGATTTAAATTAAAATAAAATGAATAAACAACTAACTGATAGGGAGGGAGTGTTGTTGGGAGAAGGTACTTTGCTGTAACTGGAGTAAATAAGATAAGTTAGGAGTAATTTATGGATAATATTCCTCATATCCTGAACAAAGATCTCTCTATTTTTAACCAAGGTGTTCCAATGTTCTCATTGCTTCTACTCTTAGTACATAAAATGCAGGTCAGAGATTCTCACTTTGTGGAGGTATCATAGTTACCTACTCTGTCTATAGACCCTCCTAAGTTTAAAATCTTAATAGGAAGATCCACATTAAAACTACAGTCAGTGGGACCAGCAAGTGGCGTGGAAATTGGAGCAGCCAGTTCCCACATGACCCACTCAGTGGTTTGAGTCACTGACTCTGTAGTTTGAAGATCATGCCATGTGTGTGTGTGAGTGTGTGTGTATATGATTAAATCTCAAAAGGAGAATGGAAGAGAAGGGATTGCAGTGTGTCCATCGCCCTGGGGGGGGGAGGAGATGATTTCTCAATTTCCCTCTCTATCTCTGCTTTTCTCTGGTGAGTGCATGCACCCTGTAGCAAAAACTAAAAACAAAACTAAACTAAAAATCAGTAACTAAATGTGCTTTTTTTTTGCATTTGTATTCAAAATATAATCAAATCAGTTAATTTTTGAGGCTAAGATAATTTAATGGAAACATATTTGCATTTTGACAACCGCTCTATGCATGAAATATAATTAAATTTAACAAACTTCTTTTTCTTTTCTTTATTTTTTAAATTTATTACATATATAGAACCCTTACCAAGAATCAAAAATCCAGTAGTTAATGTTTTTAGCTGTCATACATTGCTTATTTTTTATGATCCAGTTGTCATTGAGGTATATGGAAAAAGATACACTAAATGGAGTCAGATTTAGCTAGCGAAATGAGTTGGGACAAATATTAATAATTCAAAAAAATTGAAAATTGAGAGTACAAAATAAGCTCTTGTCAAGAGAGAATACGTGGGTCATTTGGCATCCTGAAATACCTGGACAAGTTTTCTGCATTTACATGAGTAATAGATGTTCTGAAGGCGAAAGTCATGTACTCTGGCTAGTCAGTGAAGATAAATGATGTGAATGGTGTCTCTGAGTCTGGATATGACTATGTTAATGCTGAGTCTCATGGGGGATATTTTTCTCTAGTAACCATCGTATACCCATAGTCCTACTCCTAAAGTCACTGTAAATTACAGTTCAAGAGGTTTGTTCTATCTTGTAACATCAAGTTCTTTCTAGTTAATTTAACATTATGGACAATAAAAGGGATCAATGAGGAATTCTGACAGGTCATTTCACTTTTAGCTTATTTGTGGTTTGGAGATTCATGAAGAGGTTGTGCTTTTTCTTTTCAGTGATGATTAAAGAGGTGATAGGCGAGGGAGCTGCATTAGTCTCCCTAACCTCTCTTGATCTAACCTCTAACCATGCCATAGCTCTGATAGCTTACAACAATTGCTAGTGCTAATGTTTCCTGTAATCCACTTGCATTACTTAGGCACATGATGATTTAGTAGGAAAACTGAAGAAATAGAGTTATTTTAAAAGAAATCAATAATGTTCTGCTTCCTCAAAAAGCAAAAGGGTGACATACAATTAAATATCAGTTGATTTGAAGGTCTATTCTATCCAAAGGATTTCTAATGGAGTATATAGGATTCAAAGGATCTATTCTGGGGAAGTTTAGTGATTTTGATGGAAATATTTATGTGTTTTCATGCATAAAGAATGTTTGTGTAGCAAAACAATGCAGAGCGTGTTGCTTAAGGAATATTGCAGTAGTACTAAAGAATTCTTTTTTTGCTTACAGTATACCAAATGAGCAGGGTTAATGAGTATCTGTTTCTTTCTTTTTTTGGGGGGGGGAGAGATTTTTGCTATAGGGTGTGTGCACTTGCCAAAAACACCAGAGAGAGACAGAGAGACAGAAAGCAAGAAATCACCCCCCAGGGGAGATGGCCATGCCGTAATCTCTTCTCCTTCTTCTCCTCTTTGGATCTTGGGCACACACACTCACCCAGCATGAGTTTAAGCCACCGGGCCCAGGACTCAAACTGCGGTTGACTACGTGGGAGTCCAGCGACATAGCCATTACACCAACTGCTGGTCACAATATCTGTTTCTTGAACTAGGGAAATTCCTTTGATTTTTTTTTTTCCCCAGTGAGGTTAAAAAGCTATCCTGAATATCTAACTCTCCAAATTATTTACATATAAATTTACGCTGGGAACATATAGTTTTTTTATTTCTTAATTATACATAAAGAAAGCTGGGAAGAAAATGAAGAAAACAAATATGAACTAAATTTAAGGATCTTGAAAATGATCAATATAATTTGGAAACAAAGAAAAGATTTTAAAATAGATTACTTTCATAGATTCTTCAGTGTTTCCAAGTTGTCTTTAGCTTGCTTTTTTTTTTAAATTTTTAAAGCAAAAATTATAGAACTTTTTCAACAGAGGACTTTATATTCTTTTGTCTGTTAAATATTTCTTCTCTTTGTTCCTCCCACTCATCCTTAGTAAATTTTATATTTAACATGTAAGACTTTCTAGCTGAGAGAGAGAGAAAGAGAGAGAGATCACTCCTCTGAAATTTCTTTCTCTCTGTTGTCTCTAGTGTCATTGAAAATGAGTTTTAGAAAGAGAAATTTAACAGGAACATGGAAGACGCATGTGTCCCTTCTCCCTTCCTGATTTCTAATTGCCACCATAAAACATTTCATAAAAGCATTTGTCCACAAATGATATTTTTTCTTTTTCTTCTTTCTTTTGTAATCAGTAAAATTTGTAATTTGTTTGTTCTAAGGAAAGGACGGCACTATTAGAATGTTTAGTCCAAAGAATGTAAATTATGTTTTCAGAAACTCAATTAAGAAGCTGTTTCTAGGATTTCTATGGAAGTGTAATGTGAGGGTTGCACTTGTGAATGGTCTTGAGGTCAGTGCAGTGGTAGGGGGAATGGCCTTATCAAATACATGCTGAGAATTCCAGAGCTCTGACCACCGATCCAAGGATGTTCACAGGCCACAAGACCACAACACTAGAAAGGAGGAACCCAGGATACAAGTGAAAGTGATATAATGGAAACAGCTACAGGCTTTTTAGTTCAACATAGGTTACTGAGTGAAGAATGTTCTGGCCTGGCCAAAATCTGAAAAAACTGGGTACTAGTAAAGTCTTGGAAAGGGTGATTTTTAGGGCCAGTGAAGAAGAAACCCATGTAGGGAGATTATGCCATACTTCATAGGACAGATTTTAGGGAAACAAAAAGAAGGAGGAAGAGGTGAAAAGAAGGAAGGGGAAAAGAAAGGTGAAAGGAAGGAGAGGTTCAAGAGAGGGGAAAACATAACAGCAGTTTTTAGGGCAGTGGGAAGACTTATATGTGCATACAAGAAGATGATGGCAGGTTTCCAAGAGCCTGAGATGATCTTTGTGAGATTTCTGGAATTCTATAGCTTTTCATCTTGCTTACCACTCACCCAGTCCAACACAAAGTTGTTTTTTTTAGGCATAAAACTTTTCCTGTAAATACTTTTATCAGATATTTGATAAAACAAACAAACAAACAAACAAAACAAAACACTATTAAGGTCAAAAGCTTTGGATAATTCTGGAGATTTCAATTATACCCTAATCTTTGGTTCATGTTTCACCTCAGCCTGGTTCTGATATTGACCAGTTTTGGGGATTCATTTTACAGGTAAAGAGATAATCCCTAGATGCAATTTGAAGGGCTTTGAAAATCTAGCCCTCTCATTGCCTTACCACAGTAAAAACAAACAAACAAATAAACAAAAAACTTATAGAACTTACTGTATTATGTAATATAGATATTTTTTGAATACTTGTTTTCAATAGACAAATTGATTCTAACTTTATGTTTATGTACGGAATGTTCCAATGGGTGGATTTAATCTATGAACATACCACTGGAATTCTTCCATAATAAGGAAAGTGTTTCGGTGAGTAATAGTTCATTTCAAGTGACTAGAAATCCAATGCAAACAAGAGAAAATTAGTGGTTCTGAGTACTAATATTACAGTAGTATGACTGGCTTTAGGTCTGGTTCAATTGAAAGCTCAAATAATGGCACTAGGACCAATCTTTCAACTTTTCTTCCTCTGGGGTGACTTCATTCTCAGACTGGTTCTCCTGTCTTTGTCACAAGATGGTTTTGTGAGATGCTTTAAGTTTCATCTTTATAGGTTCATATTCGATTGTTAAAGAGTGTGTCTTTAGTAACTGTCACTAATATCTTTGGTTTCCCTCTGACTAGAACAATTTATGTACTTATCTATTCCTGTACAAGTTGTGGCTAGGTGATAAAAGTTGACTAATTACCTCAAATCTAAACCATATGTCTCACTAGAATAGCTTCCCTAAAGACCTATAAGCCATATGGTAAGGGAGGTTACCTTAATGAAAATTGGAACACTTTTTTTTTTTAGAGGTTTTTTGCTATAGGGCACGTGCGCTTTCCAGACAGACAGAGAGAGACAGAGAGATAGAAAGCAAAAAATCACCTCCCAGTGGGGA